TCAATGTATGAGAGCGTTTACATGGAGATGGCCCTGGCTTTCTATTGTCTACGTTTAGGTTCCGCCTTCTGGACCATTGGTGACTCCTTTTTAGCACTTTGAATACTGGTATTTCCCAGATGTCAGACAAATAAATACTTAGCTGAACTCATGAGTGCTTTCCCTCGATACCGATAGCCTGACAGGATTTGGATTAGGATGTTTGGGTTGTTGGAGAGATAGGGAACTTCTTATATTGTGGTAGTGCCTAGACGGCGCTAGACAAGGGCTCCATTGGGCTGGGCACCAGGAGCAGGTTAGCTCAGTAGATTAGATCGAAATGGTAGAACCTGGTTGTCATTTGGATCTACTGGAGCCAATACATCTTTCACTAAGTCATGGGTGACCCTCAGAGGGTTTGATGTTCTGGTTCAGATGTTCATCCCATCCTTCTGAGTCTGCACAATCAGTCTCCAACTCTCCTGAGGACTGGCTTTCTCGCAAGGCTTCTGCATGTCCTGATTTGGGGCATCTTCGAAAGGGGTGCTGCTCCCAAGATACTTTTGCTGCCGTCCAGACATGCCTGGATGCATAAAACAATGGAGAAAGGAGAAGGTGATCCTGCCATTTTTCCTCCAGCAAGGGCTTGGATTCGCTCTGACTTCGTGGCCAAGCTCTGAGCAGCCTTTCGTTTGATCCTAACCACTTCCTCCTCCCTGCCCCGTCTCGCCAGCAGACGCAGGCACAGTCCTGTTTTGTGCATGTCAGGCACCTGCTCCCGGGCTCCCACGTGGGAGGGAAAACATGAGGAGTGAGTTTGAAGAATCAAAGGCAGACTTTGAGAAGCAGTCGCTGAAACTCCTCTCCTAGGCTGGGACCAATTAGACCAAAGTCCATTGAAGCACAAACAATGCAGACGTGCCAGATTTCCATTGCTCTCCCCAGGTATGGTAGCACCAGGATGGTGCAGAGGCCTGTAGCTTCCAGTGTTCAATGCTTCAGGCTCTTTAGGGGGATGGTATTTTACTCTGGGGGGGGGGGGCAACGATGAAGAGAGTGGCAGAAATCTGGATGCTTCTTATTAGTCTTTCATTTAATGAAGCACAAAAAAAGAAGCAGGGGGTTTGGGCCCCAAATCTTAAGGATCCCTCTCCCAAGATCCACTCTGATCATAGATCAGACACATGGCCACCAGCACGGGGCCACTCTCCCGCTCCAGTAAAGCTGGGTCCCTGGGACCCGCTATGGGGGACGGTTTCCCCATGATGCAGCGTGTGTTCTACTCCTGCTGGTCCTCAGGCCTCCTTCCCACCCCCTAACACAGATCCACTGGCCCATCTGGAGAGCCCTCTGCCCCTACAGGAACAGGCTGGAGGATGCCACGGAGGGTGTGGAGATCCACGCACAGAGGTTCCTCTCCATACACAGATCCCGGAAGAGGAGTAAGGATCTTTGGCTTTGCACCCTCGGAAGCTTGCATAGCAGCCCAGATTTGCTGTGGAATTGCGATGACTGGTATATAAGCCATTTGAGGCTCTGACCCAGGCTTGCTGGGGAATGGAGGGAGCAGCGAAATGAGCTCCCTGCCCATTGGGGCTGCGCATGTTTCTATTTTGGGGTTGGGAGCACAAGATTGAGAATCGTCACTCGCCAGGAACAGAAAACGCGGAGCCAGGGAACCTAGAGGCCTGGATCCCCTCACTGAGCCAATGGGACGAAACCCGTGGCCTGTAAGCAACTGCCATGAACAGTCGTGCCGCAGGGGGGGACAAGGGAAGCAGGTTAGGTTGCCAAAGGTGCATGGAAAGGAAAACTTTAGAGAACGAAAAGATAAATCACTCCTGGGAGACCACAGGGCCAGTGACATTTTCCGTACCTCTGAGGTTTTCTAAACGTTAGCAGTTTGATGTGTTGAATGCCCCCATCTAGGATATCCCGTCTCTGATGCCCAACCAATGCCAGTCACTTTAATATTGAATAACGATCAAAATGCATCAGCTTAATAGAGAGGCAGAAATGTTTTATTCTCCCTCCCAGGCATTAGCTCTCCACTTGAAATATAAATCCTTTCGAAGCCTGCCTGAGTGCGCCGTCATTTGAATCTTTCACCTTGTACCTGTAGGCCATGCTTAGCATTCCAAAGAGAGCCTCTTAAGGTCAATAAGAATTAACTGTAAATTTAATGAAAAGTTTCCAGTGCTTTCGCTGAAGTGGAGCCTGGCCTTTCATTTGCCAGTTTCATCTAGACGTGGAGGGAGAGCGGGGTTGTCAATAACTAACGGACGTAATTTAGGAGAAAGTATTAGGGAGTTAATGAAAATGTGAAATCGTGTCATTATCTCGCAGTAGCTGGGAATTTGTGTGCTGAAGCTGCAGAGGAAGATGATGCGTCTCACAAATAACTATGGAGGTGGCGGTGGGAGGCGTTTCCGACGTGATCTCCAAATGGGGGCGCGACCGGACACCGAAAATAACGGCAAGAATATATTCTTCCATCTGTGACCTGGTCTGGGCCGGTGGTGGCTCTGAATTAACTAAAGGAGCAACTTTAAACTGAGTTCGTTAAATTGGTGCATCATTGTAGATTGACTCTCGTTTCAGTGTAAACCTGGCGTACGTCGGTTTTGCCTGGTGCAAGCCAGCCTTGTATAAGTCAGGGGTTTCACTGGTTTCACTAGCTCGCTTTTGGAACTGGTGCAGCTTGTGTGCGTAGTTAAGCTCTTGGACGCAAGACTACACAAACAATTGGAAAAGTGTCCAATGCCTTTGGCTCATGAAGATCTTGATTTCCCAGGGATTGTGCTTTGTGGAACAGTCATCTCTCTGCTAGTGAGAGAGGGGTGCCAGTGGGTCCCTGTCTTGTGGGGTGCAGAATGGTTGGGGAACTGGTTCACCTTGGCCCTGTCCCCTACCTGCTCCCTACCTGTGGCCCACCCCCACTCTGCCCTGCCTCTGAGCCCGGGGCTACTATCAACCTGGCTCTGAGCAGGAACCAGAGTGGTGGTGATTGTCTGCAAAGGCAGCTATTCTTTGGGGTCTCTTGTCCCTGGCCGATAGCCCCTTACCCTGCTGTCAGGGTAAAATGCTTTAAAGTCAAAATACTTCACTCATGTTGGTAGCAGCATTTTATACTCACTTTGCGCAGGTGGAAATGGCTCCGAGCAGGGGACTCCAGCATGGAGGGGACCCTTTCAGTTCACTTCACTGGGATTTGGGCCCATAAATCCAGTAGGCCCTTGGGTAGAGGCTGTGCCTTCTATTCCTTGCTGCAAAGGAAAATGCACCTGTTTTGCAGAGTGAATGTTTTAAATGCGAGTCCACAAACCTTTCCGACCACCCACGTCCAATGTGCTGTAAAAGGTGGCAAATTCAGATCTCTTTTACAGTATTTGGTCTCCAGTGTATTTGTGGACAAAGTATTTTTTTTAATTTGCACTTCACCTGCTATAAGAAGTTTTTAAAATAAGATTTTTACAGTTCCAGATGGTCAAACCATTCCTCCATTTGTATGGCCAGCTTTAAAGAAACGAGTGCTAATGCACGGTTATTACCCACCACCTCTGCTTGTTACCAACTCTTATGGGTTTCCTCTCCTTTTTAAGGAGCGCAGTTAGAGCACATAAAATAAATTTGAACCATTACGTTTTAGAACCTTGAGTTCCTGTGCTCAGGTCATCGAAATGCCATTCTGCGATTCAGGGATTTAGAAAAGCGGTGTTTCGGTTTAACCTGGTCCCTTCCGAGATGACATAATCACCAGCTTTTTCTGCTTGATAATAAACATTTTATTGCACGTTAAGCAGAGGGATTAATTTAGCTCTTAAGTCTGTGTCTGCTGACTGATATTTTTATGTCTGTTAGCAGCACATGGAAAGAATCATTTTCCAGTACAAAAATCTCAATGACAACCCAGGAAAGCACCGGAGAACAGCATAAATTCTTCAGCAAGTCTACGCAGAGCAGCTCTGTAAAACAGCTTGGCAAATCTTATGACGGATTTCTGAACGTAATTAAACGTATACTGCCTGCTTATCTTATTGAGCAAAAAACAGCAGCATGGGCTCTTTAATAGAGGTGCGGAGCTTCAAAGACATTTTGACTTCCTTCTGCAACGCAGACCATCACTCAACCAACAGTCTGCTGCTCAAAGGGTCGATAAAAACAGTGCTGCAAGCAGGCTCTTCCAATTCTTATTAAAGTTAATGGAAACTTTCCCCAAACATCAGGCCCTGGGTGCATATTAGAAATAGAAATGTCCTGGGCCACTCGTGTTCTCACTGAGATTGGCACGGCAGAATCTGGCTTGCTGCTTTTGCCCGAGTCAGTCTCCAGATCCAAGTGGAATGGAATGAAGGGTGCGGCCCCATGACCAAAAAGCCTCCCGTGAAAGAACCCAGCTCTGGTTCTGTTTCATGCAATGCCCTAAACGCACACAGGAAGGATAAAATTCAGCCCTCTGCAGAGGCCAGCACAAGTAACCCACTGGTGAGGGTTGGTTACAGGTTCCTCTCTGAGCCCAAACTGCAGAGGATATGAGTGTTACAGTCCCAGTGAGGAGCTTTAGCTCACGCTGGAGCAGCTCATGCTCTGAGGTCTGGAGGTGCCTGGTTTGATCCCTCAGCTGTTGGCCACGATGGCGACTGATACACATATCCCTCTTAGTTTGGGCTCCTGCATAGCTGAAAAGTGGCACCAAATCTATGCAGGAGCTGTAGCCTGTATGCGTCCAGGAGGCACCACGCCACCCAGAGTTTCCCAGGTGCAGATAGGGAATGCACCCATTGTGCCTTCCCACCCACTTTGGTGACTTCAGTGGGAGTTTGCTCTGAACGAAGACCTGGCCCCATTAAGAGGGAACTTAGGAGTTAGTGGGGACCATGGGCAGAGCTACTTATGCAACGTGTAATGAGCGCGTGGGGCTAAACTGATCACCAGTGCAAGTCAGCACAACTCCACTAAAGTCCGTTCTCCCTTTGCCCCCTAGAACATTTGTGGGGAGAGCAATGCGAGTGCACTTTCAAGGAAGCAGACGGGGTGGACAGGTGCTGTGAAAACGTAGGCGAGTGGAACTCAGATCCCCTGATCAGAGTCAGCATGCTGGATCAGGTAGCTACGTCTCGTTCCTAACATCCCTGCATGCAGATCAGACGTTTGGGTCGAGAGAGTCTTCCCCCTCTTCTCTCCCCCCACCCCCCAGTATGTAGCTAACTCCCTTAGTACTGAGACTGCGTGGCACATTCACGCAATCACCCTGTGCCCAACTGGCGGTGCCTGGCTTTACACTGCAGGAAGGGATAGCCAGGGACCCTTCTCCACACAGAGGTGGCTTTGCTAAACTGTAAGCGGAGCTGGGTCTCCTTAGGGAGCTCCTGCATAGCTGAAAAGTGGCACCTAAGGCTTAGCTCTGAGATACATTGGAAAGATTCTCTTGAGAGGCAGCAGGATGGCCGAACGAGAACAACCAGCGCCTTTCTACACCGCATGCTGCTGCATATAGGTCTCTGTAAACTGAGGCCAAAGTCAAACATTCCCCAAACAAGGGTACAAACACAAAGTTAATTTAGGGAGGGGGAGTATTAAAAAGGCTTGGGAAGCAACCCAATCTCTTCCTCTTTCGGAGCTCCCCGCTTGCAGGCATGCAGGAAAACTTGATATCTGAAAGCAGCTCTCTTGTGCCAAGCTGGAACAGGAGCATGCTAGACCCTCATACCAGCTGCGCTCCAGCACTCCAAACGTATGGAAACTGCATGTGCTCTGCCAGTTACTTCAGAGTGGCAGCAAAGCCGGGAATGAATAGCCGGCACTGTAAATGCTGGCCCGATAAAAAGCCACAATCGCTCTCACATGGCGTTCCATGGGAGTGTGTGAGGAATAACCTCATGAATGCTTTTAATAAAATGTTCTTTCCTTCATTCAGAACCCCCCAACCTCCCATCCTCTTCCCAAGTACCCAGCTCTGCTGGGTGGAGAGCTAGCATTGAGAAAGCACAACCTCTTCTAACTGCGAGGGCCCCTAGACCGTGGGCTAGCTTCCCAGGCAGAGCAAAGGAATTGCTTTGGGGATATGGGGCACGGGGTGTGCTGTGCTCTGTCCTGGGGGCGGGGGTGGAATTTGTCATTCCCACCAGACATTGGGAGAAATATTCCGAATCCCCCAAACTTTGCACAGGTTTTAGCACGGATGAATATCCGGTGGAAAATTCATCCCAGAAAGTGAGCTCTTTGTCAGTAACATTTAGCTGTGTGATACCCTCTTGTTTGATGGGTTCTTGCTATCCATCAGGGGACACAGAATCATGGGTTAGTGTGCAGGGGACCCTAGCAACATCCCAGTGGGAGAGGGCACAGGGCTAACTGGCGTCTGGTAGTGAGTTTCAGCTGGCCAGTTCAGAGTATCTCAATTTATTAATGTCATAAACTGTATCCGATACATGTCGTGTAAGGTATCATTAGAAAACTAACAACACCCAGATCATTAATATTCTTGTGTGATGTGTGTCTGATAAACACCCCAGGGACCATACAAATATGAAGGAAATGTAGAACTAACGTGTGTTTATCAGACAAGTCCAGGGAATGGGTAAACAGGTTTCTCCCGGATAAAGGACAGGCCAACGCCTCCAGCCAGGTGTCATCAGAGTCAATTAGCAATCACACGTCAAGTGGCCATTCATTTGCATTGGAGAGGACAGGAACAACTCAACTTGCATTTTAGCAAACACCAGCAGCGGAAGAAACCTGCATGGAACTTCTTTCCCCACCAGACTCACAGCTTGAATGAACTTTATTTGGGTGGGTAAGCTTCAGAGGAATCCTTTGCTGAGATTCAGTGGACTATAAAAGAAAGGGGCAAAGAACCCTATCTTTCACCTAGGATAGGACAAGGGGAACCAGCAGCCTGTGGTTCTGTGAAAGGTCCTGACTAAGAGCAAGTCAGCCATGCTGGGCAGAGTGGTTGGTGAGAGATCATCTTAAACAAAGGCTGTTGCTTACTAGATTAAGTTTCAGACCTTTAGATGGGTATTTTTCACTTGTTGCTTGTAACCTTTTCCACTTTTATTTCTTTTACTTGGCATCACTTAACCTATGTCCTGCTGTTAATAAATCTAAACCAACCCAGTGCTGTGTTTGAATTGAAGTGGTTGTTAACTCCAGTTCATGTGGCAAGCTGCTGGGTATTGGCTCTTTAAAGGAGCAAACAAACCTCATTATTCCTCTGAAAGGTGCAGGGAAGGGCTGGATGTAGTAGAACACACGGTTTTGGGGAAATTTGGGGCTGGGAGTACATGGGGTTATTTGGTTGGTGGTAACTAAGGCTGGTGGAGAGCAGCATGTGGCTGGGGTGTAACAAACAGGCTGCTGCAATCAGAACGCCGACCCAGAGCGGCTTACCACTTGTCTGGTGTCCTGGCTGTGAGCCACAACAGCAAAGCCCTGCAGGCAGCCAGGGTTACAGGGCAGGCAGGACACAACCCCTCACTGGTCTGGATTGCATCCCCAGAAAGGGACAACCCCACATCATCCCTTAGGATGATTCAGCCTGGTGCACCTCGGTACTTTCAGACCAATAATAATCTGTGTTAGGTCAGTGCAGAGTTGGGGCAGGACTGTGGTCCCATCTCCTCCCTAACTGTTCTCTAGCCTTTCAACCCCCCATCTGGAACAGGCCTGTCAGATTAGTTATCCAGCTTTCCACACCGTGCCTGCAACTCTTGGACTCTGCCTTGTTCCCCTTCTCTCTGCAGCAGATCACTGGCAATCTCATGGCTTAACCCTGGGTTTGATAATGCCCCCTTCTGTAGCTGGCAGTAACACATTTATACCCATCCTCAGGGTGATCCTCTCATACAGTTCCTGGGCTACATGTATGCTCCACCTATCACGGAGGTGGTGAGTTTGCCCAGTGCAATGTAGGAACTTTCCTCAGCCCTCTTTCGCCCTTTAGATTGAGTTAGAGAGAGATGCTTGGAACAAATGTAAGCCTGCCGCTAAATACAAGGGGTGAAATCCTTTCTCAGTTACACGGGTGTCAATCTCAACAGCCTGTCATGCCAACTAATATTGTCTCATCGTTCCCTGGTGCTCCCCTGTCTGTCTGTCTGTCTGTCTCCATCTCTCTGTCTCTTGTCTTATGCTTAGATTGTAAGCGGTTTGGGGCAGGGACTATCTTTTTATTCGATGTCTGTACAGTTCCTAGCACTGTGGGGTCCTGGTCCGTGACTGGGATGCCTAGACCCTATGGTAATACAAACAATAAGTAATACTAATAGTTATTGATCTCCCAGCCCAACTGGAAGCCTGGGGCAGTGATGAATTATGTTGATTATTTGGCCGTCTTTTGGTCTGGTAGCTGCAGACACGTATGCATCCATTCCGATTGAGAGTGCCAGCTTTGCAGTCTAAGAAGCCTCGGTCTGCAGGAGAAAATCCTAATGTACTACACGTACAGGTGGCAGGACTAGCTAAGAAAACGTAGCAGTTAAACTTCTGGAAACCTGGCTTTTATTCATCCTTTTTCCTTCATTCCAACCTAATTGAATGTGATGCTGTTTAATATATTTAGTGAGGAAAACCCTGGTGTTGCATTTGGAAAGGCCAATCTCACACTAAATAACATTGCTGTGGGCCCCGTGGGGACTTGCCCAGCGTTTGGGCACCAGTCCCTTCTCCAACGCTCCAGATGGGGAGAGGCTGGGAGGTACTTTTAACTCAGCAGTTCCACTCTCGCCTCTTTTCCTTGGCTGCTAAAAATAGATGGGCGGTGACACTAGACGGCTCGCCGTTTGTCTGCAGGATACAGAACTATTGGCTAAGGCCAAGCTTCTTCAGCCCGGGATGTACACACACAGTTGGCTGAGGCACTTCTTCTGAACCTGGCAAAGGTTGCCAAGCCGTGGGATCAATTTATATTCCTATAAAACTCAGTTTCATGCACCAGGCTCCCTGTTTCAGCTTGCTGGGGCTTGTTCTACCACATACCTGTCCGAGCTCTGAAGGCCTCAGTGGCTTAACTGACTGAGCTGGATTGTCACCCCATCTTCCGTTGGTGGGCAGCTACTCTCCATGAAACAAGTGGGATTCCCCATGTGAATATCTGCCCGCCGGTGGGGGTTGGAGGGCTCATAGTCTGGCCCTAAGACAGGAGTTGGAATTGGAGGAGATTGGAAGTCTCTGACCACTTCTCAGTCAACTCATAGGGGTCTCCCCTTAATACTTTCCCCACTGCTAGGTGTAGTCCTGAAGAAACCGCCTGGTGCGATTAGGGCTTGTCTAGGCATGGCCGAGAGCTCCGGATGAGCGCCGAGTCTGGCGACTGCATTGTGTTTCTGTATTTGTTGGAAGTGGAAGAGATTCTGCAGTGAGGACTCTGTTAGCACGGGGAGTTAGTGTGATGTGTGGGTCTAGGTACGTTCAGGGTGGTTTCCTCGACAGGCCATTTCCTTGTTTCTCCATGTTTGCATTGGGCGGTTTTGCATGTCGATTAACCAACCAAATCTTTGTTGGTGGGGACATATGTCGGAACCATTCCCAGCTGCCCTTTTCTGAGGGGTCGGAATGAAAAAATGAACTCACAAGGCATGTGCCAATCGTCACACTGATGGCTCTGCTTCTGTGTGTTGTGTCTTTCCTCTCCCACCTTTCATCTCTTGTTTAGATGGGAAGCTTTATGGGCCAGGGACTGTCTCTTCGTATGTGAGTGTATGGCGGGTAGCCCTTTTGGGTTGCTACTGCAATATTAATCAAAATGACCTGAACCTGCTTTGACGTGAGTCCTCCGTGATCTGTGACTGCATTGGCTGGAGTCATCTTTACTTTATAGAAGTTTAACACTAGTCTGGATTTGTTAATTTCATATGTCCGTGCAGTTGCTGAGCATAAAAAAGAACAATACTCTGTTAGGAAACTCATCAAAGAGAAGCTAAGCCTTGGTTTAAAAAAAATTCCCCAGGCTAGGGCACGTGGCCGAGCTTGTTTTCAATCATGCAGTGTAAAAATGGCTGCCGTAAACTGAATTTAAAAAGCATAAAGGTGCACGTCTGGTGTTGCAGGGTTGGTCTGATCCTTTCCAAATACCCTCAGTGAGCATCCATCATTACGCCTCCCTT